TGTCAGTAATTAACTCCTGTTTGATAGAACTAATGGGCTCCAATATGTCGTCCCATTCATGAGTAAACCCGTGCCACCCCCTCCGTGCTATTACCCAACTATGCTGCTAACCGTTGACCGGATAGACGGGTAAATCTCATGAGTAAAAGAGTAGTCAATCTGTTGAAATAATCGACAATATGAACACGAATAAGAGAATGATTCTTCCTAAGATCATTTCAAATGCTTCCCCGTTGGCGACAGCCGATTTCATTGATAAATTAATCAACAACAAAACACTAGTTCTAAGTGTCCTAGTCACAATCATCGACGAATTCAGTGCACAAAATTTTCGTTTATCGACGCACACCACCACCCATTCTTAGCACAGGGTCGAAACAGCTACTTCCTAACCAATCACAGCCCGTCAAATTTGGTCTGCACTTAACGAAATGCCCCGATAAATCGGATCCACTTTGCCACTACTCGGATGTAATTGAAAATGAAAAACCGGTGATTGGCGGAAATGGGAAAATTTTATTTACAAATAGAATGAATTGAAGCTTCAATAGATCACTGACTGACAGATAAGAACTGATGGGACGTCATCGGATATGGTCCGACGCTAGCTAAGTAGGCGATGAAGTTTTCAGCGCAACTGATATCTGTGGTTGTGATTTCATCGTGTAGAGGTGAATACTCTTCAAAAGTTTTCCCCTCACGATAGCATAAATGGGTTGATTTCATTCCTTCCCACACACACGCGCGTGCGCGTTTGATTTCACACAATCCGAGAGAAACCAACTGGAGTACTAACGCTGCGGGCAGGAATTCCATGGCTGTACAGATTGGCAAGGCACAGGATTGTGGAGCACATGTAGCTCGTAGGGAAGAGTATCGAGGTACGCTCCTGGCGATACGGAAACCACATTAGTCTGACACGTTGAGTACCACGGCTTGATGTTGTAATGCGGGTGCTCGAGGCTTCTCAGTAAATGCGGTCCATTGACATTCGGAAACGGCAGTGGACGGAATCAAATCCTTGAGTAATGAACTAAGAACCGTCTCTTCGAACGGTTGTTTCTCCGGGGCGGTCTGAAACAGTACAAAATAGACGAAAATCGAGTGGAGATCAGATATTGTGATGATCATTAGCGTTCGCCTTGTTAGTTCCCCGGATGAAAAAACAGGCGCAGTGAAAAGCGAATTTAGGTAGTAGTAGTAGTACGTTCAAGCGAGAAAACCTGTAGCCAGATTAAACGTTGTTGATAGGTGCGCTGAACCTAATTCTTTTCGGTCAGAACAAATGCTCAATGTAATGCCGCGATCACGGCGAAAGGATCGACTGATTAGCTACCAGTATTCACTGTTGAACCAAGCATGACATTACGGTTCGGAAGTGGTGCATCACAGACCCAACCCAATAATGTTTGGTGTGATATTAACCTGGGCGCCAGCGAAGATACACCCTAAAACAGAATAAAATTGCATAAGCGGGTCAAGAACGGAATATGTGGCTGTCCAAATTTGAACGGCGAATCAAAATACACACGAGTTATGGGTAGTTTATGAGGGTGCATGCTACCGGAAACAGAATCAGCATCAAATGTGATAAATTTATAGGGTGCGAGGTAGAAAATCACCGACTACACCTGAACCAGTGTATTGACAAACTCTAAAGATTTCTGTAATGGTTAGCGTTTTCAATTTTGTTTAACCCGGCTGAGAACCGCATTATATCCACGTGCTCAGATCACATCCTGGAGGATGGAAAACAGAAATGCTCTCTCTCTGTTTTAGTTCAGAGTAGTACCCGTTGGAATACAGACTGCGTCGTTATGATATGAGTCAACGTGTGGATCCTCACAGATCCGGACCACCCATTGTATGCAGAACTGACACGTTGTCGTTCCCATCATTCAACACGCTCCCAATTTCGTCAAATTTCATCTCGAATTAATGCATACCGCAATTCACCCATACCGTGTCTTGCTCGTCTACTCACAAACAAAGAGCGAACAATGAGTGAACTGTGTCTTAACCTTGGATTATGAATGTCTCCATGCCTGCGAAAACTTTTCTCCCCGTTGATTATGTACATTGCGACGGTTAGCATGTACGCTTTTTAACTGAAATGTGAGCTCCAATGCTTGCAAAAGTTATACACAATACAATTATATTCGACGGAGCATTGCTATTGAGGTCAGGATGAAGCAGACGAATTTCTTAGAGATTTAGCTGAAAGGCACTGACGCATCGTGTGAGAAAAGCAGTCCGTTGGAAGGTGATGTCCAGTCGTCATTCGAATGCGATTAGCATACACCAGGGTGATCGTGTACGCCACAGATCGATGCTGATCGTTTGCTATAGGGACAATACAGACACAATAAATGGTTCGAATCAAAGTTTCCAACTACTCAGGATACAATTGCTGTCAAATGTCCATCAAAACGGATCATGAGATTTGCTTTCTCCTATTTGAATGAAAACATCCTACTCAATGGAAGACACTAATTGGAACTATTCAGAATAGCACCCTTTGAGAACAATCTCCGTGACAGGAAAGATTCGTTTTCCATCGAAGAGAAGTTTGGTCTTTTCGAAAGTAAAGGTAAAGTAAAAATGAAAAAAAAAACAGAAAATGGCAACGATTTTTCGGATGATTAAGCAAACACGGGACGTTTAGCTTCGACATTGACAAAACGAAAACCTCAATTTAACATGCTATTTACACGCAACTTTCCCAGTTGCCAACTGTCGAGTCACACTGCGGATTTACACAGTTCAGATATGTGTGACTAGGCCGTATACCCCAAAAGCGTATATATAACAAAGAACTTGATCCATGTGCTCATGGACAGAATAATATCAGGTTGCCCAGGTTAAATCAGGTGAATTTACTTAGGAAAATTCGTAACCGGAATGTTTGGCTACCCAGGTCTGAATGGCAGAATGGTGTACGAAAGTCACAGCCTATTGGTGACCGGTGTCCAATCAGTAGGGAATGGTTCACACGTCCAGGGTGCCAAGCAAACCATATCACCGAATGCATCCAGTGATCATGGCGATAAGGATCTTCCGGAGTCAATTCATGCTTATTCTTCTGGTCAATTTGCAACCAGGATTTTCCAATCTCCCGAGACGATCTAACTACCGATG